TATCCACGGATTATTACCAAAAAACTAATCAAAACCTAGCATTAGTTCAGAGCATCTATGTACCAAGTTTCATCAAAATCCAATGAGTGGTTGTTTAGATATCAGTGGAACAGTCATGGAACCACTAAAAAATAGCTAATTATCATGCAAATTTAGGTAATTAATATGCACGGATTTTTACCAAAAAATAATCAAATCTGCGCATATGTTCAGAGCATCTATGTACCAAGTTTCATCAAAATCCAATGAGTGGTTCTTTAGATATCAGTGGAACAGTCATAGAACAGCTAAAAAATAGCTAATTATCATGCAAATTAGGTAATTAACGAGCATGGATTTTTACCAAAACCTAATCAAATCTGCGCATTGGCCCAGAGCATCTATGCACCAAGTTTCATCAAAAACCGATGTATGGTTCTTGAGATAGCAGTGGAACAGTCGGACACACATACACACACACATACACACATACACACATACACACATACACACATACAGACACACTAACTGCAAAGACTCCCATTTTGTGCTTCGCACATGGGAGTCAAAAATGATTGTTTTAAAAGTTGACTTACTCAATGGGTTTATTGCTGGCTTATGAGATACATGTGTAGATCATACATACATACACTGTACATAGTATTGAAATTCACCACTTGACTAATACTGAGGGTATATAATTTTCTCTAAATGGGCCATTCCAGTTTATATCTGCACCCCCCTGTTGATGTGGTCGGATTTCCCAGGTATGTACGACCTAGAAAAAGTGCCATATGCGAGAACCAAGTTGCGAGTCGCAAGTAGCAAAATATGCCATATGCTAGTGGTAAAAACGGCATATGCGAGTGGTAAAATGTATCATTTGCTAGTAGCAAAAAAGCCCTATGCGAGGGGTAATACAAAGGCCAGGAAAACTGGTGTATGCGAGGGGTGGAGTCATTTGCCAGTTTGCTCAACGGCTGTATTCGTTTGTTTATAATATAATAACGTACGTTCAAATGTGTTTTATCACAGTAAAATCAAATATTTACCATGGTTATGAAATGATGTGTACATGGTTGGTTCAGATTGGCATGATGCTGTTGAGGCTTTTACTTTAGGGGTGATTCATATATAACAATAATGGTAGCAAATATGTGTCAGCGCGATCTAGCCTAGGTGTCAACCGGCGCACGCCGCCCGGTACTCAACATTACAGTCGACCAGTGTATGCAGATTACATTACGAAGGTCACAAATAAAAGCAGCTTTAACTACTATTTCCTGCTGCTTTTTTGTTTATTATTCATTT